TGAAAAGTTTACACGAATTTTCGCAGCGAGGGTAGACTATATACAAGAACGTACTCCGCTATCCATCTTGTGATTTTACTTTTCCTCGATGAGTTAAGTAAAAAGCAAACTGTCTAAAATAAATGGCGTACGATCCAACGCTTATTTGTATAAACGATGTATCGAAAATCTTTCGATATTTCTAGTCTTCTTAATTCCGAGCAATATTTCAAAGCGCACTCTGCTTCCAATTCGATCAATTCAAAGCGTTTCAAGTCCGCCGTTGCTCGTGTCCGCTGCGTTAGCGCTGGCGAAATCGCATTGAGTGTAACATCAAGAACATTGTAAAATTAATAGCGGACATGGTGGCGCGGCGTAGCGAGCGGTCGTTATCGTTTTCGATGTCTTCCCCTCCCCCCCGTAAAATACGACTTCGTTTCAGTCCAACTAGTCGGTCCGTCGGGAAACTTGAAGTCGGGAAACGCGACGATTCGAAAACTCGCGCGAATCACTCGTTGCAGGCGAGCGGCAGTGTGCCTAGCACTAGAACTTATCTAGTCTATTATACGTACACGGATATGTGATGGTCTCGTGTGTCGATCCGAGATCAACGGTCTGCCACGGTAAACTGTGTGTTGGGTAACTCTGGTCTCTCGTATATCTCTCGAATTCGGCTCGGATTCGATGGAGAACCGGTCGACTCGATTCGAACTGTGGAATATTGGAATGAACGAGTGCCAGACAAATGGAATTCGTTTCTTTCTCGCGCGGATACTTTTTCAGGGATCTGTGGATAAATTTTACGTCGGTGAAGCGGAACGTAACAGAGCTCTGATTGTTCGAACGATGCACGACGTCCACGTTCGAACTGTTTTCTATCTTTTCACTGCGATTTTACAGCTCAGTAAATATTTATCGGAGGAACACTCGCCCCCACCCTCCAAAACTCCTCTCTCTCTCTTGTGTCTCTATCCTGATATATTGTGATTTGAAAAATGTTTTTTCGGCCCGGAGATTTTGCAAAAAAATTGGAATTTTTGTTTCGCTACTTTAACATACCGCGTGTGGAAGTGTACAGGTTTTACGATTCCAAATACATACGTAAGGTTTTTAGTTACCGACAAGGAATTACGAAAGTGGACGAATTACGAGAAACCTTTGAATAATCGGTGGAGATATCTGGAAGACGACCGATGGTTTACGTTACAAAATTATAATTACTCGAAAATGCAAATTATTGCTTGCAATGGACGCTGGAAATATTTTTATTGAAGAGAACGTATATATAGAAACGGTTTCGGGCAATCGAACGACGAAAGCAGATAGAATATTGATAAAATTTGTAAAATTTGTAAAAATATCGACGTATTTCGACCGATCGTCTCGACGTGCGTATCGTTAGCCGCGTGCAAGCTCGAGGATTTCGTAAAATTAGGAAAAACTACTCACGAACTGATCGTGCGCGTTGCGTTTCGTCAATTTTGCTACTAGTCGATCGGCGGACTTTGAGGGAACCATCGCTTCGATGGAGTTCTAAATATTTGTCTGCTGGAAATTCAAGCGAACGCAAGCCAAAAGAAAAGCAGCAACTCTAGCTTCCGGTATTCGAAGGGAATACCGTGCCGTGAGGTTTTGTCGTAATATTCGGGTCACGGTGGATCCCGGAGCATGGGAAATATGTTGCTTCTTATCCAAGAATCCGCGAAGACCACGTTGCGTTGTTCACAACTTCCAGCAGCATAAGCGTTTCCAATTATTCGCGACTCGTGTTTACGCTTGATAAAATGCATGTTGAGGATAAGCGAAATAACGCGTTCCCATACTCTCGTACCACTGGTATACGCGCGTATTACCGTGTAAAATTTTGCTCGAGCTGCTGTACTTTCGAATTTCTCGACTTTCCTATCAACGATACTGGCATATCGTTGCAAGCGCGATGGACACTAAACTGATGTTCTGACAACGTTATTCTCGATGCTAGGGAACTCGTGCTTCTTTTCGGATCGGTTTCATGAATTTGTCGATCGAACGTCATTTACGTTTCACCACGATATGTAATGTCAATCAACGAATGTAAAAGTTTCCGTGCACACGCGTATCGCATATGAAATAAATGTTTGCACGATCTTCGTCAGAACGTTCGACGATTCAAAATAAGAAAAAGAGTTATGTACATGTAACAAATTTATCGACATATGTATACAAATAATAAATTATATGATATATACAAAATTAATACGCCATACGATTGATATATGTATAATATAATAAATTTTATTTACAATTTAGAGATAATAAGGAAATATTTCATTTTAACTTTAACCTCGAGCGTACTCGCGTTCTACTTGTCCGTCAGATAGTTTCCTATTCTACTTGTTATAACAGGCTGCCTTTTATACTATCTCCTTTACTCGCACGATAGTCTCCCCTCTCATTTGTTTCCATATCCACATTGTTATTTTGCTTGTCTCATTAGATAGACTCCTGCTTTTTCTTGTCATCATTGTCGTATTCGACGTTTATCTTGTCACGTAATGTAAGTGGAATAAGGTTTTGATCTATAATTTTAATCATTCTTCAAACGTTCACATGATAACATAGACAGGAATATCTTTCTTTCAGGATTTCGTTATGAATTTCAAGCTTATTTACGACAGAAATTTACCGAAAGAGTCTCTTTAATAAAACACAATTTTAATTAACATCAACGCAACAGACTTATTTCACAAAGAAAAGCGCGTAATTAACTTCGAAATAAAGTTACAAAGCGCACTTTGAATACGGCAGTTGTCTTGCACTATGTACAAATAACGCGCAAGTGATTAAAAAGTTCATCAACGTTGTAATAAACCTTTTCGCAATTAAATATACGTCGCACAACGAGAAAGACAAAGTTATTTTGTTTGTTTGCGAATATTAACTGCAAATAATTTATTATCGGTGGCAGCATGCAAACTTATTGTATCGTTGTAATTCAAACGACATAGAAAAGATCATTAGATCGTTTTGGAAACAACGAAACCAAATATTTCCATGTAGAAAATATAAATGAAAGATTACGCGAAACGAAAATTACGCGAAAAATGCAGAAATTCATGCCAGTATATCGTAAACGGGACAAAAGCGGCTACGAAAATGTTCGCCCCGCAAAACGACCACCGCATTTCTATGAAATTTTATGTAAAATGTTCGTAAGCAAAAATTTCGCGAGTCGTAGAACAATTTTCGATTAAATTCACTTTGTTATGAAAAATCTTCCAGAAATGAACAATTACAAATGAGAAAACCGAAAAGAATAATTGGAAGCGAAACACGGTTCGAATAACGTTATTCGACATTTTTTTAGCTACAAACAAAGCGTTTTAATCGAAAATAAACAATTTTAGGAACGCGATGTAGAAAATCCGAAGGGTTCTACGAATGTGTAATTTAATTTACTTTAATTCCATAATATAATTTTGGGCATTTTTTTTTAAATTTGTAAACCTTTTGTGTTGAGAAATATAAAAAACACTTGAAGTATCTGTTATTTTAGTTACATACATAGATTATCCTATTTATACGTTCGTAATTCAAACACTGTTTCATCGAATTAAAAAAAATTACTTTCTGCTCTTATTATACGCTCGCGAAACATAAAAATTACCGTGCGGCGTTTATCAATCTGGAAAAAACAAAAAATCCTGTTTAACTGCTTCTTGCTGATCCTCTTACTAAAATTGAATTTTGGACAATTTATAGTTAACGACGAAATGTTTGTCAAATACAGGTTTCTTTTTATCTGTTTTAATCATATCTAGCTCATAAATCTAAACGTAGCAGCTCTTCTACCGAGCGCTGGCTAATCAAGTTACTATCGACAAATATTTGCAGTCTAATGCACTTAACAAGCTTTCCCCCAAAAGTAAGTATCATAAATATTCCCGTCGCACCAGTTCATCCGATCCTCCATCACCGATAGGAACAAACAGAAAATCGTGGGAATCCGTAAAACCTCTGGGTTAATAAAAAGAAGATATATTCTTATCCCACGCACATTAGATAGCACGAACCGCTATAATCCAGCAATTTGTCAACTGACACGAATCCGAAGAATTTCCTTTCTTCCTCCGACACGTTTCAAACGAGACTGTAACTGCGATCCGTTCCATTTTTGCCCGACGGACGAGCAAAAATCGAGCAACTTTTATGCAGCGTTGCAAATTTTCTTATACCTCGAATCGATTGTTCGAAAAAGTTGCCGGTTCGTGGCACAAGGATAGCCGAAACGAAGGGACGCGTGGCGACGCAGGGCACACCGATACACCAACACCTATTAATTTCTCTGTTCCTTTCGCAGGTTGGTCGTTTGTCACTGTCAGGCGATACTATTAAACCAGGTGCTGCTACGTGCCGTTTGATCGCGAAAATTATTGCGGCTGCATGTGGAATTGTCACGGTACAAGTAGCGCTCATGAGGAACCGTCTTTTGTCGTGACAACACTAACGTGTACTCGCGAATTCTAGATGCCCGTGTACGTGTACGTTCTCGATCAAAAATAAGTCATTTTTGACGAGGTAGGCCGGCAATCATGCGGCATTACCAGCAATAAAGAGGCAATCGAGGATATTGGGTTACAAGCGTTCGTGGAAACGATCATTTTGTTAACTCCGACGCCTAGATGCACGATTTTATTAGCTTCTACTCGGAAATTTCCTCTTAGGATTTATATATGTAAATTAACGCTACGTCGTTCACGAGCAAGTAACGTTCGATTGAAATTTATCGATAGAAAAATTCGAGTATCGTGAATTTGACCGTGTTTCTTGCAAAAAACGTTCCATCGAGAAATATTGCCAGTTGCAATTAATCATGTGTGTGTGTGTATGTGTGTGTGTGAGAGAGAGAGAGAGAAAGAGAGAGAGAGGGAGACAGTTAGAGCGTTCACCCCCTAATTTCATTTCGCCCTCGCCATGAAATGAAACGTGTGGTTTAATTAAAATATATTTAGTCGTAAACTTTAAACCTGTTACGAATAGAAAAACACAGTGTTCCGTGATTCATTTTTCTGAATGGTTCCGACCAAAGATAAGGCGTTTGAGTGAAAGAACCCTATCGCGTAACAGTAACAACGCGTCTCGAAGAAAAATACAAAGCAAGATCTCTATGTGCGTTCCGAAGGTTTAATAATCCAAGTTCCACAAGTCGGGAATATTCTCCATCGGACAAGGTCTTTTGTATTACGAATCTAACGAGACTGGGATCGATCGGTACGCGAAGATGTTCTGGAACAAAAGTTCGTCTCCTCTGGGTATCGTTCGAGTACAGAGCTCTCTGCGTTTGTTCTAATGACAAACTCGACGCTGTTCGTCGCACTCTTTAAAGCACAACTTCGCCATCGTTCGCTAATGCGGAACGATTTAAAGGGCGTGCGCGTTTCATTTCGTTTTGTTCCGTTTCGTTTCGTTTCGCAACACGGCAATAGCAAGGAACGTTACCGAAAGAACGTGGCAGTGATCCAACTTGGCAGTTACTCGTTGTACTCGTTAATTACGAGAACGAGCCGTGCAGATCCTTGATTATCGCTGACGCTAAGAGTTCCTTGGATCGCACCGAGTCCAACTGCATCATACTAAATAGCCATTTACATGTGTCGAGTCCTGCTCTTCTCGAGATTTCGCTCGACTCGTTTCCCCTCTTCCTGCTGCACGAAATGAAAGGAGAATCACGTCCGCGAGTTTGTACGCGCCGCGTTACAAGCGAACTGACTCAACGTCTTCTCGGACAAAGTACCACCACTGAAAAACTGTTTCACTCGCGTCGCGTCGTCGTGATCGACTCGAAACATCTACGGATATCAAAAGAGAAACGGAAAGTGGCCACTTCCGAGCGATCGGTCTCGGAGACACCGTAGATTTACTATTCCCCAGATGGAAACGATTTGCACCAGCTAAAATGATCGATACATCCACGGAGAGCAGAAGCAGCGAGGAGTCAGTTCCACTGGGTCACTAGATGCCCGATACACTGGAGCTTTCGTTCGTTAGGAGTCTCTTTGATGGTCGCTGGCCTGGCTGCTTTCTCGTCGCTGTTCGGTTAAAAGCAAGATCGAGGGTGATATATAAAGGGTTGAAGGTGGTTGCTGCTGGTAAAGACGACGCTTCTTTCCTCGGTCTCGCTCGCTTCCCTTTTTCTCTTCTTCGTCTTTTGCCTCTGTTCGATTACGTAAAGGAAAAGCGATGTTTGCTCGTGTCCTTATTGGAGGAAGGCTTCGTGATCGACCAGTCACCTCGCGAACGAACCGGCGTGCAGAAGCAACAGGAGCAACGCGAGTGTCCTCGTTGCCGCGCCGCTGTTGCTCGAGTTGCCGTGTTGCATGGCCGCTGGATGTTCTCCTGTAACAAGCAAAAAGCCCGGAATTACCTTGCGAACTAAATCAGTCACGACACATTTTGATTAACCTATGGGGAAGCTACGCGTGTTCACTGATTATTTCTTTCGCTTATCAGCTACTTCTGCAAGGTCTGCCGGTGACGTTGCCCGAATTTACGAATAATCGATTGCAACGAGACTGTGAAATCACGTTGTTCCCGAGGTCGACGTTCAATCAGAAAATTGGAAGCATCGACAACAAAGAGATCAAATATAGAAGCAAGATATACCACTATCTATCAATCGTTACTCGCGTCGAAAGTGTTTACAAAGAACGAAATGAAAATTGTCGATTCGATCTAGGAATTTTACTAGTTTTACTAGCAACTAGTTCGAGCGTAACGAGTTGGCTTTCGTACAACGTTGTTTAATGAAATTGCGCGCGTTTATCGAAACAAATATCGTTATCGATTTCCTACGAAATTTCCAACAATGGCTACGAATCGGTAGAGTACAAAGGATGCTGTACACATTTTTTCCCACATTTTCATTCTTCAACACGCGCGCGAGTACACCGCGTCGTCGACGACGCTGCATTAAACGACAAAGAGAAATACTAATAAATAACTGGAAGAAAAGCTCGCGCGCGCGGTACAACGTGGCATTCTACCCGTACGATAGTTTATATAAGAGTTTCATTAAACAGCCGCTCGACTCTGTTTTCGATCTACTCCGTTGGCTGTTCATCGGGTCTGGCTCTCTCCTACCGTCTCCTGTTCCTCGCATTTATGTGTGTCTTTGGGTTTATACTTGCAACGAGTAACGGCCCGGGGCAACGCCATGGCATTTCTGTCACGCGTATATTCTTGCCTGCTAAATGCGGCAGGATGGCGCAGAATGCCGAGAAAATCGGCTACCAGGGGATAAGCCGACTGAATTGTTCGGGGATGACAAATATAGAGGCTCGTAGGAGTACCGCCTGGTGTATACAGTGTACACTGTACACTGTAGAGGCGCGTACCAACGTGCACGTGCACGTTATCAATTTGAGAACGGCTGCGTTCCACTTTACGATGCTTCGACCAACTTTTTGGCCAAATAGTTGGAGGAACGCGTTGTTATCGTGCGCTCCGACCAGGGGGAATCGAATACGCTGCCGAATGTATATGGGAACGTGTGCGTTGCTTCGAATCGAATTTTCCGAGTTCCGATTGAAAGTTACGTGGCTGCGTATTGTCGAGGAAATTTCCCCCATCACCAGCAACGTAAACGCATGGTTAGTCGTATCGTTATTGGACGGTAGCAGCTTCGCGTTGGGATTACGCGAGGCGAACCTCGCGGTCTGTCAAAGAACGCCGAAACACATTTTTCAAAATTATCCGACCAATTTATTTACCCACGAGTAAGTTTTTGTCTTCGATGGGTTCAAACCATGTTTCTCGCGTTTCTACGATGTTTGCTTTTAAGGTAATAAAATGGCTTTTAGCGACGATCGATGTGTTTTAATTTCATCCTTAGAACCGACTTGTTTTAAAGCTAGCGAATTTAGACCTGCATAGTTGACCGATCAAGTTTGGATCGTTAAAAGTTACCGAGTATTTGGAACGTAAATAAATAAACTAATTTGAATAAACGAAGAAGATATGCTATCAATGGTTATCCATTCGTTAGTCGTCTAACCAACAAAGAACTGAAGTTTACGCCACGGTCGTTTCAAATTTCTCAATGGCATTCGAAGATCGTCTTGAAGAAGGTAGCCTGGACTATACGATATTTAGAAACTTCACAGATGGCGTATAAAATATACAAACGATGTAAACATTGTAATTGTCATTAGCGTACAAAGCGATTTAATAACATTTCTGACGTTATTCGTGTAATTGCTACGATTATACACCCCCTTAATTTAATTTGCTAATTTATGTTCTCTCTAGAGGTGGTTTGCCGATACTGAAAATTATCACGATATACCCTGGAAAATCATGGAATACAAATAATTTTAATCGAGTTATTAACATTATTGCATATTATTAAGGGCGTATTCGATATAATACATTAATTATTACGTATCAACGGGACAATTTAATTTAAACTTCTGATGATCGCGCGCATCGAAGTTAGTCAACGTATCGTTAGTCAACGAGCATATTTTTTTACTGATAAATATTTCGACATCTATAAAAAGTATGTAAATAGATGAAATTTCGATGTACGATCGTGCGAAACGTCAATACGCGAACATACGAATACACGATATCGACGATTAAACATATGGGGAATTCAAACAAAAGAAACATATCGCAATATAAATTTTTACATTTATATTTTCTTTGATGATGGAACGCGTTCGTCAATGTTTATAAAGTTCTATCAATTTGAACTAGAATTTAACGCTACTTTTCAAAGAAATTTATCCATGGCGGAAGAGAATCGAGTTCACATACCGAATTTACCAAGTTTCGGCGCGACTATCAGAAAATTGGAAAGGCTTATACAAAGTATCGGGCAGAAAATTCGAATATCCGTTGCAGCATGTAACCGGAGCCGGAGGGCATTCCTTCAACGAACACCTCTGCGATTTCGCCTTTCCTTTCCTCGAATATATTTTTTCTCGGAACGTTCCGCGGCGACTCGGCCTAATTTACGGTGGGCGATTCGACGAACGGCCGCGCGTTGCAAGAAGCACTCATTTTTCAGTGAAAACGACCATCAGCATTCCACGGAAAAAAGTAGCAAGCCACAGCTGCGGAGCGACGACGAGTCTCTGTCGTTGCAAATGTATTGGCAACAAGAACGGTCAGCTTTTACTCCCGACGTTGACTGAATCGAATTTAATCTCATTTGTTGACGAAAGCTCGCTTGTCTCGAGAGTTCACCATTCCTCGTCTTTCGTTGCTTATCCTGTCTTTTCTATTTTTCTCTATATCGATTACATAGTCGAACGTCTAATGAATCACCGCGGTAGTAACTTCGCTACTAATATTTAATATCGAAGCCAATGGAGGACGGAAAAGATAGAAAAACTTTTGGGACAACGGTTAAACGTCGAATAATTTATTACCGCGTCGAACGACCCACAGTTTTCTTCGTTCGATTCTAAGTAAATAGGCGAAATCTCACGAATAACTCGCAAAAGTTTTCAACCGTAACAAGACCGTATTCGTCGTACGTTCGTGTCGAGTGTCGAGAGTGCGACGTTTAGACGCGCGTCTGATTGTAGACGTTGCATTGTCGGAATAACGGGACACGGACCAAGGCAGATAGAGTTCCTATGGCTTGTCCAAAGCGTCGATCGACATTTGCCAGGGCCATGGGTCTTGTCGCAAAACAACCTCTTACAGAATTCCGTCGAGTACCAATCTCCGAGGACAAGAATAGTCCACTTACCCTCTTTTTCTGAGAAACGCATTGGAAGGATGAAAGAGGACAGAGCAGAGACTGCACGATTCCGTCTAGGGACACCGCGTTAGTTTCTGCAACTTGCCCTGACAGAATAAACAGAATCAGAGAGCAGCGCAGTTCGATTCGGCAAAAGTTATTGCCGCAGTCAGGCTTCGGTTGTAAAGTTTTCAAAGAGCAATTAGATTCGAACTATCATCCTAAATTATCAACTGTTCGCTATTCTTATTAAGTACACCAATAATAATCTGTATACTGCTCACATTTGTCGTAACTGTACACGAAACATATCGTACGATACCCTGTGGTACTCGACGAATAGCAATTGCCAAGTCTTGATAAAAATTTAATAGAACGGCTTTTAAATAAATACGTCGATATCGAACGATTGATATCAAGAATCTTGAACGATCAAAGCAAATACATATAATAAAGAAGGATTTCGAAGTATTATTATTGATTATTTTGATTCATATAATCTATAAATATTCAATATACATAAATATTTAACAGGTCAGCTAAATATTCATGATTTATCGTGACAGATGAACGATCATTGGTTTAGAATAAAAAGCACGATATATATTGTGTCTGAGAATATTTTCTTTCTTGTTGTAAAGGAATAATCACAAATTGTACGTATTTTTTATACGATGATACGTATTTTTCTTTCATTTAAATCGCTTTAGGTATTGTTCGCATTTGCGGCTACTGAAAGATCATAGGCTTTAAGCATTTTCGCGCACCAGTTCGGCACAAAGGATCTCGTTAAATTAGAAAGGCTACGGAAATTTCGAAATTCTCGGGTAGGATGTCTCTTGAAGTCTCTTTTTAAAAGGATGAAAAAGTTTATGGAATCCGTCAGGAACACAACAACTCGGCAAAATACACTTGTCTCGCTTTAATTTCAGAGAAGTACACTGCATCCTGCCAACTCGTCCCAAGTATTTTACGAAGGAGCACGACATTTTCAACACGCGTCGAGGCTGCGACTTTCCTCTGGAAATTTACGAGACAATTTTGACAATTGCGATACATGTTTTCGAAATGTCTTTCTCTTATCGAATGAACGTATGCATTTTGCACGGATGCGCGAAGAAACAATATTAAAGAACGTACGTACGTTCTCGTTCGAAAACCGATCAGAAACGTCGTCGAATTTTATTATATAGAGAACTATATATAGAAATCGGAAGAGCAGGGGAAAAGTTACTCAATGCTTTGTCAAATCTACGAGAAAGTTTCTTGAAAACGTTTGCGATTTATGACGGCCTCGCGGCTCACGGGACTATTATCCTGGAAAATATCAAGTTCTTGAGCAAGCTCGTTCAAGATTTTAACAGGTAAAGTAATCCGCCATACGAAAGAGATCTACGTGGCTATTACGTTACCTAGCGACACTCGGATAATATTAAATTACCTACTATACATAAAGTGTTTGGCGCACTTTCAACGGTATACGTACGTACACCTAAGATATAACTAAGTAAATAATAAACACGTAAAGTAAGAAGTTGGATGCAACTTCGATGGATGCAAAATCGATTTAAATGAAATAATAGAGCGTATAGAGTGTATAAATTGAAATGCAACGACGCGATAATTTATGTCGATGATATCGTTA